TGGGGGCTTATCCTGGGCATTGAAGGGCCTTTAGCAACATCTTTGGCCTCCACTCACTAAATGCTGGCTGGATCAACCAAAAATGTTTCCAGACGTTGCCAAACTTACCCTGGGAGCTAAACTCACCCACCCCTGTGAGAACTATTTGCTTGATCACACGCATTGCCAGATTCCCTGAACGTGGTGCACGCACTGTTCACACTCTGGGTGTCTCTTCACTAAGCAGCAGACAAAGGCAGGGAGGCCCACATGGCTGGGGGGGCTGTCGTCAGCCTGTGGTGGCCAGTGTTGTTGCCTTTGGAGGATTGGCACCCAGCTCACCATTTCAGCTGGCAATGATCTGAACAGAAGTGCTCTGATTGCCTGAGGATCGGGTTTCCTCTGGGGGTCATTTTTTTTCAAGTCTCCTGTTGTTGTTTATTTATACTCATCCCAATAAAAACCATGTGCTCAGCTGTGTAGAGTGTTAATGACAGGAGGGTCGCTCCAGACAGCGCCTGGGGAGGCATCTGCAAATTCATCCCCCAGAGATTCCTCATCTGCTGGATCTGTCTGGCAAGGCCCTGGTGGGTCTTAAGTGTGTGTGTGTGTGTGTGTGTGTGTGTGCGTGCATGTGCATGAGTGAGTGTGTGTGTGTGTATATGTGTGTACTGAGAAATGGGCATTTGTTGCTTCTCTAAGTTCACGCTTGTAATAACACAAGCACCTCCTCCAAGGAAATTTCTTTCTTCATGTCTGGCCACCAGACTGGGTCTCCGCCAGCTCAGACTTCCTGCACTCCATGCCAGGCCTCTGTGGCTTCCAACTTGATTCTTGGCGTGCTAAGACCCAAGGGAGTCCTACCTGGCTCTCCCCCAGCAGGGGAGCGAGTGCAGTTAATGAGGAAGCCATACATATGTGTAGGACTTCATGGTGAACAAGGTGCTTTCTTATCGGTCATCCTTATGATAAGGATATCAAAGAAGTCATCTTTATTCAACACTAACTGTGCCAGCCACTATACAGCCTGAGTTCCTTCTTTCATTCATTCAAGCAAGCATGCCTTCCTTTATCCAAACTGATAAATGTTGAGTACTGATAAATACGCCACAGCCCGGCCACCATTCGAGTGATGGGGTAGTGAGAAACAATTGCCCCACTGCTCCCATCAACCACACAGTGGTAGGCAAATGAATTAATAAATGAATAAGATAATTTCTGTTGCTGATAAATGATGGAGATGAAGTAAAGCAGCAGAACGTGATAGAGATTTGCCGAGAAGAGAGGTACTTTTTAAACATGCAGATGTCATCAGAGAAGACCTCAGACCAAGCCCTTAAGGACAAATGACAAGAAAATCCCTGAAAGGGAAACACCCAAGAAAATGCCTGCAGGTGGCAACATGGTTGAATTGCTCAAGGAACAGAAAGGCATCCAGGGTGTCTAGAGCCTAGAGAAGTGGGGGCAAGAGGGGCCCGTCGGAGGGAGGGTGTACTCAGAGAGACCAGGAACTCGACTTTTTCAGCCATGATGAAGAGTTGGAATTTTGTTCTAAGGACAATGGAAGCCATTGGAAGGTTTTCTGTGTCAAAGCGATGTGATCTGACGTAAGCTTTCACAAAGCCCACATTGTCTGCTGTGCAGAAAATGGAGTGGTGAGCCGATAGACACCCTAGGGAGACCAGTTAGGCTGAGACAGCAAGGAGGTGGGTGATTTTCCCATTGCTGCTGTAACAAGCTTACCACAAATCTCGTGTGGCATACGTTTATTATCCCATGGTTTTGTAGGTCAGAAATCGGACATGGGTCTCACTGGGTTAAAATCCAGTTGTCGGCAGTGCTGTGTTCCTTCTAGAAGCTCCAGGGGAGAATCCATTCCTTGCCTTCCCCAGCTTCTAGAGGCCACCTGCAAATGCAGGCTGTGGGTTCTCTCCCATCTTGAAGAACAGAAATATCGTGTTTTCAAATCTCCCTCCTCCTGTCTCTCTCTCTCTTTCATCATCACCTCTCCACTTACTCTGACCCTCCTGCCTCCCTCTCTTAAGGACCCTTCTGATTACATTGGGCTTGATATAGTTTGGATCTGGGTTCCTGCCCAAATCTCATATTGACATGTGGTTTTCACTGTTGGAGGTGGGGCCTGGCAGCACGGGGGTGGATTTCTCATGAATGGGGACAGGACCATCCCCCTTGGTACTGTCCTCTCCATAGTAAGTGAATTCTCATGAGATCTGGTCATTAAAAATGGGAAGCATCTCTCCCTGGCTCGCTTGTTCCTGCTTTCACCATTTCAGTGATTTGCCTTCCACCATGAATAGAAGCTTCCAGAAGCCTCCCCAGCAGGAGATGCTGCCATGCTTCCTGCAGAACCGTGAGCCAATTACACTTCTTTTCTTATAAATGACCCAGTCTCAGGTGTTTCTTTATAGCAGTGCAGGAATGGACTAACCCCAGGCTCATCTAGACAACCAGGATACTCTCCCCATCTCAAGGTCCTTAGCTTAATCATGTCTCGAAAGTCCCTTTTGCCAGGTGAGGTCACCTAGTCACAGGTTGTGGGGATTTGGGGTAGTGGGCATCTTTGGGGCCTGTTATTCTGCTGATCCTGGGAAATGAGCCACAATGGAGGCTTGGATGGTGCCAGCAGGACTGGAGGGCGGTAAGTGCACTAGGGATTTATTTTGAGGCAGAACCACAAAGACTTGCTGATGGAGGGTATGGGGCTGTGAGGGAAAGCCCAGAATCAAGAGGGTGCCCTTTACTGGGATGGAGAGAGAGGGCAGGGCTTGAGTGGAGAGCAGAGGCTGATCAAGGGGTTCTGTGTGATGATTATTTTGAGTTGCTCCCTGGACAGTTGAGGGGAAATGTCCAGCAGGCAGCTGGATTGGTGAGTCTGGAGTCAAGGGCAGAAGCTGGGCTAGTGATGTGAGTGTGGGGGTCTCCAGCCCAGAGGCAGGACGTGGCCACGGGACAGGGTGAAAGCATCCCTGACGTCAGGAGGAGGTCATGGGTCAAAGAGGAGAAGCCATAAAAAGTAGTCGCCACTCTGACCTCACCACCCAATGCCTGGACACTTCTCTCAGCAATTCGTTTCAACGTCTGCACCTGGGAATAGGGAGGGTCCCACCTTGAGAGTGCTCACTGTATGCCAAGAACAGTGCTTAGTTCCTAACATACGTTATTGCATTTCAGATCTCCTTTCTCCCCTTCCTTCTTCCCCCTTTGGGGGAAGGGTGGGAGTGGTGGTGTGGGACTGAGTAGGGAGGGTGGAGTGGTGGGGGTGGGCTTGAGTGTGGAGGGTGGAGAGGTGGGGTGGGCTTGAGTGTGGAGGGTGGAGTGGTGGGGTGGGCTTGAGTGTGGAGGATGGAGAGGTGGGTGGGCTTGAGTGTGGAGGATGGAGAGGTGGGTGGGCTTGAGTGTGGAGGGTGTAGTAGTGGGTGGGGTTCAGTGTGGAGGGTGGGGGTGAGGCCGAGTGGGGAGGGTGGGAAAGGTGGGCAGGATTCCAGCCAAGGTGGGAACTTTGTCTTTTTATTGAGATCAGAGGGAATGCATGAAGCGTGTGGACAAGCACTGCCAGGCTGCAGGTGGAAAGTGCATGCAGCGGGAAAGTGCAGCCGCCAGGTCCAGGGTGCATTTTACAGAGGTCAGGCTGGAGGTCGTGGTGTGGACCAGAAGAAAGGTCAGGAACTGGAATCATGGTGTTAGTGGTTCAGAAAAGTCGTGCAATGCCAGAGGCTGAGTCATTTGGCTTTGTTCACACACTAGCAAGTTCAAACCCAGTTCAGTTGTGTTGCAAATCCAATATGCTAAGTCACCATAATTTAACAGCAGGTTTCCCCTCAAGGTGTCATGACATTATTTTTGTGGTCTCAACCAACCAGCATTTATCAAAGGGAGAGGGAGAGAGAGAATGGAAGGAAGGAAGGAAAAAAGGAAGGAAGGAAAGGAAGGAGGGAAGGAAGGAAGTAGAATAGGACCACAGTTTATTGCACGTAGTGAAGGGAGGCGCTGCTGCATATGTGTTTCTATGCTGTATGCTTATCTGCAGATGGATGTACCAGACTGTGATATGAAACCTATTTTTACGGCTGGTGGTGGCTCCTCTGAGCTGCTACTGGATTTGACCTCCACCCCCTCTCACGCTGACTCTGGGTCCTTCGAAATGAGTCATAGAGAGTCATTCCCTGCCCACTCTGCTGTACACCTCATGGTTTCTGATAATACAGCATTGTGAAGTCGGGGGAAGGCTGGCAGAGGGGCCCGGTCCAGTCTGTGACCTGAGCCACCACAGCAGGGTGTCCAGGGGGAGGGGAAGGTGGTGTGAATCCCTAGTAATGCAGGTCCTTCCCAGGCCAGGTCCCTGGTACCCAGGGGCTGCCCGAGGTCTACTGATGCCCTATCCAGAGCTGCCCCCCCAGCGATGACTCAGGGTCCCGGTGGCCCCAGCATCATCCCTCCATCCCTGGCTGGAAGGCAGGAGCAGAGTTGCAGAGCTGAGAGGCCTTTAATTTGTTTGATGTAAGACTTTGCTGCGAGACCAAGGGCTTTGCCTGTGAGTTCTGGCTTGGCCTGGCCTCTGAGAAAGAACAAACGCAGACCTCACTGGAAGGAACCTGGAGAACGGAAGAAGAGGAGAGGCTGCTGCTGTGTGCCCTCCCAGCAGCAAGGGGCTTCTAAGTCCCCTAGAATCCCAGCTGTGTAATTTAAGGCAGGTTCATCTCTCGGAACCTCAGTTTCCTCATTTGCAGGTGCTTGTCATTCTCCTTCATATCCATTGTCACTCTTGCAATGATATCAAAAATGCTTACATTTCAGATACATCCCCAGCCGGGATGTAAGGAAGGTCAAGACCCTCTCTTTCTTATCACCTCTATATCAACTCCCTTCTACCTTGCCTCCCACCACCTGGCCTGTTCTGGCTGGTGAAATGTAGCCAGAGGTTCCTGGAAAGGCTTTCCATCTCAAGTAAAGTCTGGCTTAGAGAAAACCACTGGTCTCTTTCCTTTTCTTCTTCTAGACATGAACATGGGGCCGGAAGAACACAGGGAAGACAAGGACCAGGCTCTCAGAAGGAGCTGGTGTGGGGGGAGCCATGAGAACTGGAGGAGGTGAGAAGGGTGAGAGAGGAGGTGAGGGGGGAGGGGGAGGTCATGGAGGAGGTAAGAAGGGTGGGAGAAGTGGGGGTGTGGTTAAGGGGGAAGGATGGGAGTGGTGGGTGTGCTTTGGAGATACAGCAGCCACTTTGGGACCGTGGGGATGTTTGAAAGAGATGAAGAACAGAATGACAGAAGCACATTGGTGACATTGTGACATACAGCAGACTCTATGCCCATCTTTTGATTTCTCATCTATGTAAACACTGAAATCTGGTCTTTTACTTGTAGGTAAATACAGTTTCTGACTTACGTAATGATGTATGCACCAGAAGCCTCTCCTTGTGTGTATTAATTCAGCAGACAGTTATGGAGTCCCTACAATGTGCTAGTGGAACTTTGAAGATGAATCTAATTTGGATCCTGAAAAGCCTCAAAGCCTAATATAGGAGGTAAAAAATGTAGAATCCACATAACGATGGGGTCTTCCCCACCCCTTAAGATCTAGTTATGAGTAGCTGCAATTGCTGTGAATTCCAAGGTGGTTTTACCACCTCAAGTTCACATTTAGATCTGACTTATGGCTTCTGTTAGGAAGTTCCCATCTCTACATCTCATGTCTGTTCCTTTATTTCTGCCAGCCCTGATCCAAATGTGAAACTTATCTTTTTTTATTAACCAATCAACCACCTCTTGCCAAAAACAAAAAGCATGAAACTCTTCTTACACAAGGTCTTTGTTTCTACAGCAGACTTGGCTAAAGGTTTGGGTAGGCATGCCCCCAAAATTAAAAAAGGGAAACTGAGCACTTCTCTCCTTCAGAGTTATTTGGTCTTTCCTACAGGAACTCCCCCTTATCTCTGCTCTTCTCCTTGCACTTTTACCACCTTACTTACTCCCATGGCATGCCACATCCTTGAATATATATGCCCGTGGCAGATGTGGTAATGAAGATTGGTTGGGAATTCTGAAGGAGATGGCCCAGATGTCAATCACACAATTTCTCTGTGGCTCAGTTTCTCATTTGCAAAAAGGGAGCTAACTATGGAGTCCCTTCTAGCTCATTCAATAGTTCACTCCGTCTTACCTCACTACTTTTTTTCCCCCTAAAAACCAACTTTGCATCGTTTGTCAAACATTGTTTGCTCCATCACCCCCAATGCCTACAAACCCACCTCACAGAATGGGGAGAGGATTGAGTGAGCAGTCGCTGGCATAGGCGCCACAGGCTCTACGGCACTGAATATCATTCATATTCTGGTTCTGTATTCTGTGTCCCCTACTGCCCCAAGACAAGTTCATTTAAAACAACAAAGCTTCTATCTCAGGTGGAAAACCCATCAGCACTAGGCATTGTCTTCCAGTGATTCTGAGCAGAAATAACGAAGAATGTATGTCTTCCTTGTGACTCAGCAAGCAAAGACATGGAGTCATAAAAAAGTGGGAGATTTGGGGCTACTGACAAATTTGGCCCACTGATTCCATTCCCATAGACCAGCACAGGTCCATCAAATTGAATCATTCTTATGCAGAATTTAATGGAACTCCGGTGCCCATTGCATTAGTTTTTGATGACGGAATCCTCTTTCTCTGTGAACTTGAACTCGAGGGGTCTGGCTACCCCTCTGAAACCTCTTTATTGCGATAAAATCGTGTAACGTAAAATTCAGCCCTTTAATGTGTACAATTCAGTGGTTTTGGTATATTTACAATGTCCATCACCACAATCACCATCACCTCAACCATCAGCACAACCTAATTACAGAACATTTTTGTCTCCTTAAAAAGCAGCCGCTTCCCATTCCCCCATCTGTAGCCCATGGCAACCTCTAATCTATGGCCAGTCAGACACCTCTGGTACCAATCTCTCCAGTCTGTGAGCTGTGAACTCTCTTTTTAGCAGATTTGGCTCTGACACCTGCCATCTACCTTTGTTCCTGGATACAAAGATGGAATCTTCCCTGAAAACCAACTTTGCATTGTTTGCCTAACATTTGGACCTCCTTCCTATATCTGTGTAACTGTTCAGTGTATGACCCGTGGTAGGAGGAGGCAGTGGCTGTCTTTCTCTATTAAGGCTCAAAAAGATAGACTCACACTTTCCCAGACTCCCTTGCAGCGAGTCCTTAGATGGGTGTGCTACACTCAAGCTCAACCAATGACTATGAATCTGGAGCCAGTGGCCTGAAAAGTCAGGGGCTGTTGAGAATTTTTGCTGGCAGTGTGGTGGTAGCAGTAGTAATGTCAAAGGCCTACCAGCAGCAGGGCTGGGGGCCCATGGCACCGGGACAAGGCTCAGTGGCACTAATGTCTGCATTGGACTGGCTGGTTCTGATTATGGTCATCTCTTAGACTCCCTTGCTCCTGGCCACTGTTTAAGCTGATCCCCCCAGCCTCCTTGGCTATCGACTGAGCTAGATCCTAGCTACAAAATAGATTTCATTTCAGTTAAAGTCATCCAGAGTTGGTTTCCATGCTTCCAGTCAAGGACCCTACCTGGAAGAAGTATTTTATGAGTAGAGTCTTAACCAGGATGAGTCATAGAGTTTTGCTCCAGAATACAGCAACTGACAGGGCACCACATTTTGAAGCTTGAACTTCCTCCCCATGCTCTTCCTTATTCCTGTTGCAGTGCTGAGCTAGCCTCTTCTTCTGGAGCCATCTCCTTAGCAGCAGGTGAACAAAGACAGAGATGGAGACTTAAGATCAAAGGCATTGAGTGCCTGACCAGGGGTCCCTCTGTGAGGGAGGAGAACAAGCCCCTCCTCTCTTTCTCTGAATCTTCTTGTTTAGAAACTGAGTTTCTGGGTCTGGTGTGGTGGCTCATGCCTATAATCCCAACACTTTGGTAGGCCGAGGTGGGTGGATCACCTGAGGTCAGGAGATTGAGACCAGCCTGGCTAACATGGTGAAACCCCATCTTAACTAAAAATACAAAAAGTAGCTGAGCATGGTAGTGTGCACCTGTAATCCCAGCTACTCAGGAGGCTGAGGCAGTAGAATTGCTTGAATTTGGGAGGTGGAGGTTGCAGTGAGTTGAGATTGTGCCATTGGACTCCAGACTGGGTGACAGGAACAAAACTGCATGTAAAAAAAAAAAAAAAGGAAAAGAAAAGAAACTGAGTTTCTGGCTGCTTGTTATGGATTGAATCATGTTCCCCCAAAACACATACTGAAGTCCTACCCCCAGTATCTAAGAATGTGACCTCCGTTAGAAATAGGGTTTTGCAGATGTAATTAGTTAGGATGAGGTCACATTGGAATAGGGTGGGCCCTTAATCCAGTAGGGCTGCTGTCCTAATAAGAATAGGGAGGATGATACAAGACAGACACACATGGAGAATGCTGTGTGACCATAAGGGCAGAGCTGGAGTGATGCTGCTACAAGCCCAGGACTGCTGGCCCCCACCAGGGCTAGAAAGATACAAGGAGGGATTTTAGCCTCAGGAACTACGAGAAGCATTTATGTTGTTTTAAGCCACCCGGTTTGCAGTAAAACTAAAGGAAAGCAAAACATGTTTTGAATCCAAATTCCTGGCCATACCTCTGCTTTACAGGATAGCCTTAGGAGCAGACAGAGTGAAGTTTGTGCCTCAGCTCTGTTACCACCTGCTGCATGGCTTCAGAGTTAAGCTAATAACTTCCTTGGCGACTCTGTTTCCTCATCTGCAAATCGAAGATGAACATAGCTCTTTCAAAGACTGTTAAACACTTAGAGGAGTGTGTGGCACATAAATGACAACTATTAATATGAAGGAACTGCTTCCTGTCAGTATCTGGCCCCCATGGTTGCTTCCTATTGAGGGAAACAAGTCTAAAGCCTGCTCTTAGAATACAGATCAATGCCACCGATTATTCAGATACAACGAATTTTCTTCCTTTTCTTCTTTAAAGAAAAGAGATAATTCCATGTTTGCTATGTTTTTCCTTCCTATTTTTAACATCTTTCTGCACTTTTAGTTTATGGTGCAGGAAGCCCTCTTTCCCAGGATGAGTGGGTGCTAGCTTCTTTATGTGGGGCACCCACTGTTGCCCAAGGACAGAGCCTCCTCCAGCCAGCCAGGGTAGGATGGAGAGGGTGCAGGTGCTGCCCAGGCCAGTAATCCGGCTGCCGATCTGGGGACGTTCAGAGCAGCCAGTGTCTTTAATATCCACTCTTCACAGTTTCATCTCCACCCACGATGGTTGCGCTGATTGTAGTGCAATAAAGCTAGAGTTTTTGGGGGAGAAGGCTGTCCCTGGTTATTTATTTCATTTAGAAGCCACTGTAATACTCTTCAGGGAGAGATAAGAATGATTTAAGTAATTCAGGACTCCAGGAGTCCAGGACGTTTATGGTTCCTTCTAACCCTGGGGAATTTTATGATTGTAGGCTTGTGGCTGCAGAGTAAAGCCACCTGCTGTTGATATGAGGAACATATTGAACAGGTGTAAGCACCTATTGGTGCCACGTGATTATACACAGCTGTTCCTGTTTACCTCGCAACAACCCTTAGGGCACGTGGGGCCAGGTTCCCTAGAAGTGGACCCTATATAAAGATTCCTATGGCTGGACGTGGTGGTTCATGCCTGTAATCCCAGCACTTTGGGAGACTGAGGCGGGAGAATCACCTGAGGTCAGGAGTTTGAAACCAGCCTGGCAAACATGGTAAAAACTTGTCTTTACTAAAAATACAAAAATTAGCTGGGCATGGTGGTTTGTGTCTGTAATCCCAGCTACTTGGGAGGCTGAGGCAAGAGAATCGCTTTAACCTGGGAGGCGGAGGTTGCAGTGAGTCGAGATCTCACCACTGCACTCCAGCCTGTCTTAAAAAAAAAAAAAAATTCCTGTGTATGTGACTTATCAAGTAAGAACTCCCAGGGGAAACTAGCAGAGGAAAAGGGGAGGGGGTGGAAAAGGAAAGAATCCCAAAAAAGCGTGATTTCGGCTGCGACCTTTGTAGGGGAGCTTGAGTTTGCTCCTGCAGGGAACCCTGCAGGGAACCCTGGAGGGTAGAATGTACCTCCCCTGGATGCCAGAAAGCTGGCGTTCCATATCCCTGTGCCCACCGGTCACTGGCTGTGGGCCTTGAGTCTCAGAATAAATAAACTCCCAGGCACCTGTGGTCCATCTGTGCCTGTAAAAGGCTTTAGTAACCCAAGGGCAGCAGATCAACATTGAGCAGGAATAAACAGAACACAAGGACATCTGGGTGGAAGCCACCAGTGCCTGCACATGGAACTATGAAGATCACCATTTTTCAGAGTAAGCAAATGTGGGAAGTAGGAAATTTCATTTTTAAAGTTTCCTTTCTTGTTAAAGAGTCAGTGTGCTAGTAGCTCTCTGTTAAGCCCTATCCTATGTAGCTGTTAGACATACCATGCTTACAGGCACGTAGTACATTCTGTGTCCTTGTAGTTTAACCAAGATATCTGTGCTGGACACGCTTACAGCCATGTCCCAGCTCTCCATTGCTTTTTTTTTTTAAACCTATCTGGAAAAGTTTCAAGTTGTTAGCCAGTCGAATTTTAGTTTAGATTGTGAGTTCTAGTTCTAGCCAAAGGAGATCAGACATAGCAGTAAGGACAACCCGAAATGTGTAAGGGATAAATTTGTGTGTTTTCCTTTGTTCATTGTACTCTTATGGCATGATAGCAAGCGAGGGTACCCTTCCTGCAGTCCAGGAAGTAAAAATTGTGTTGCTAAAAAATCCTTTGTCTCAGTACTGATTTTTCTTTGCAGCATCAAGCATCTATTTCCAAGAGAAAAAGAGGCTCACGGTGTGACATAACACTGTCTGGAAAGGTGAGTGGCCAGCCAGGCCTGGATTTGAACCTGTGAGTGTTTGTTCTTTCCACTGAGATTGCTGGGTTGCTGGTGTCTGGGGACCAGTGGCTGAAAGCATTGACTTCTCATGTTTCTTTTTCCTGTTAAAAGTATTTCTGTTACAGTTTTTATGCCTAAAAAAGCAATAAATTGCAATAAGAACAAGTAATTTACTTCTCACACATAATATGGACAAATCTCACCAGAGTTCTGATGATTGAAAGAAGCTGGACACAGAGAGAGAGAAAAAAATAATCTCTGGTGATAAAAGTCAGGGTGTTGGTGACTCTCTGGGTGGGCATTAGGGACTGAAAGACAGCCCCAAATGTACCTCTTGGGAGCTGGTCATGTGTAGGGTCTTGACTTGGGTTCACAAATAGGTTCAGTTTGTTAAAATTAAACTATGTACTTAAGGGATGTGTGGTTTCTATATGCATGTCATGCCTCAATAAAAATTTAAATTGAAGAAATAAGTGAAAAGATAGAAAGGGAGAAAATAAAATTGGGCATCATCCCATTCACTCAGAAGTCACTGTGATTAGCCAGGCATGATGGTGGGTGCCTGTAATTCCAGCTACTTGGGAGGCTGAGGTGGGAGGATCACTTGAACCAGGGAGGCGGCGGTTGCAGAGAGTTGAGATTGTGCATTGCACTCACTTCAGCCTGGGTGATAGAGCGAGACTCTGTACCCACTCCTGCCCCCCAAGCAAGAAACAAAAAACACTATGCTTAATGTTCTCTTGAGGTATATCTTGTAAAATGTTCTAATGTGCGCACACACACAAACATATCCGCAAACACATGTGATGGAGTTTCTGGTTGTGTTGGGGTGATTATCCTAACCTTGAGGGTAGACCATCTTGTCTTCTGTACTGACAGGAATAGGAAGTAAACTGGGGTCAGTGGTCTGGGAAGAGCTGGGAAGAGACAGGTTCGAGAGACCCCAGATGTCCCAAGTATCTGGAGGTGGAACTTCCGGTGATGAGGGCTTTCATTTAAAGCACGTGTCCCTGTTTGCATCCCTACCACTGGTGATATGGATCGTGGCTGTCTTCACAATTATTTACTCCTTTATTCAAAGACATTTGCTGAGCACAGATTGTGTAGATACTGAACAATGCACAAGGTCTGGGAAGATGGATCATGAAAAATAAGACTTAGTTTCTGACCTCAAGAGGCTTTGAGTCAGTGTGGCTCTGAGCAAAATACTGCTCTCACAGGAACCTCATTTTCCTTATCAGAAAAATGGGATTAATAAGGCCTGCTTGGCTACGTAATTTTGAAATCATATGGGGTGACATTAATAAGGAACCTAGAACAAAGCATGGACTCCATCACTCTATAAAGCATGGACTCCATCACTCTACACTGCATTGCACACATGCTGTAGGAAACTGGTTTGAGCCCAGTGTGTTCACACTGGGATCCTGGCACATCTAGCCAATGGGTAAGCTGGCTCTATCGGAAATATGTTTGCATAGATGTTTAGGAGCTCCCAAGAAACAATTCAAAATAAATTAAGCTGAGATTTGAAAGGGTGTTTTTAATTTGAGTTCTTATAAGTATCTACTTGGTGCTGGTTAGATCTGGGAAGGGCTTGGGACACTGTCCAGGTATATTGAATGCTATGTGACTCTTCATTAAATAAAATTTGTGGGTCTTGGTGGGAGAAAATGCAGGGAGAAGATAGATTCTTTTTCACTCGCAGATGTGAAGAGAGATGGAAACACACACACCAAACTGATTTTGCAGGAGGTGGCTGTGGTGACAATTTTGGACACCTCCAAAGAAAGAATGAAGTCATCAGACTTGACTAGTGGAGTGAAGCTGAAAGGGTCTAGGGTGGCCTGACAGTATCATAATTTTCAAAAGGCCAGTCCAGTTCTGGCTTGAACCACTGCAAATCCAGAATTTGTATTGCTTAGCTCAGTGCTTTCCTAAGTCTGCTTGTATAGCCCTGGGGTTCCATGAGACTCCGGTGAGGACCGCTGTGTGTAAGTGTGGGGTGGGGAAGGGCAGGATGACAGAATGGCATCAAAAAGGAACCCCATCCTGCTTCATGGAGAGTAGCTTTGCTTGCCTTTGATCAAGGTTCTGTGTGAGCTAAAGCAAGGTTTGAAAAACCACTTGCCTAGAGTGTGCCCTCCTTTGGGATGCCTTCTGTTCCCATAGTGCTTTCTCTCTTCTTTCCATCATAAATTCATTTTCTGTCTTTATAATCCAGCTCAGGTGTCTCTGCCCTCACTTAGTTTTTCTTAAACACCAAGCATGCCAGCAGTCCTTTTTCTGTATTTCCACTGTCCCCACCCATACATCCTTTGCTGCTATTAACTTACCGTATTGAGCATGTACATCTCTGCATGCCTATTTCCATTATTACACCAGGAGCTCCTTTAGGCAGACACGGCATTACCCGTCTCTGTTCATAGGCATAAAGTGTGCCTGGCATAAAGTAATTACGGTTAAATTTCATTTAACCGTAATTACTTTATGCCAGGCACACTTTATGCCTATGGGATGCCATGCAGAATGGGATGCCACCAGTTTAATGGTTCTCTGATTAAGAAGCACACCTTCTTTCCTTTAGAGCCTTAGATGTAGCCAGCATTTTTATTAATTCAAGATTTCATAAAGGGTTAATAATCTCTCTTTGCCTCTCCTAGAAATTGTCAGGTTTGGTGAGAACAGGTAAACATGTCTGATAACATCCCCTTTCCTGTCCCCCTGCCCTCATTGATGGTGTTGTGCTTTAAAATTCTTTTTCTTGGAAAAACTAGACATTTACTTTCCTCCACTTGCCCTGAGATATGATCAAATACCGAACTCAAAGGTTCAGAGCTGGTGAACAACTTAAAGTTCATATTGAAAAGATCTGGCTGCCGGCACCATTTGGGGCATTGCAGTCTGATGATGCTGGCGTCAGTTCTTTCCCCAGAGACCTGGGACTTGCTGATACAGGCCTCCCATTTATGCTCCACAAAGGGTGCAGCTGTGAGGGCTGGAGCCTATTCTGAGAAGCTGGACCTTCTGCTCTCTTGGTATTGATCAGGAGGCTCTAGATATTTCCTTGAGGCTGTTCAAGAAGCAGAAAGTTGTGCAGGAGCAGACACAGAAGGAGGCCTGTGAGAGTCAGTGACCTGCCTTGATTCATTTTGCAACGTGAATCGAGAACTTCAAGTTTCAAAGCTGCTAATGAATTGGTCAGGATCCTCTCTTGAGTATTCTTAGGGGATTTAGCTGACTCTGTCTACTTCAAAGGCGCTCATTACCTTTGTGGACGTTTTTGCAACCAATGTCTGATCCAGGGAGCAGCATTTCTAAAGCAGGAATACAGGATGGGGATAAACATTGGCTGTTTAACCCTCAGACACTGGGCACCCATCATGTGCTAGATTTTTCTGCCGGGTACTGGGGTAAGAAAAAGGCAATGCAGAAGCTTCATAGACTGTCAAAGGCATGACCAATTCAACTTCTCTTGATTGTTGAGTCAATGTTGTTAGTTGGTACAGACCAGAAAATCAGTCTGATGGATTGAACTGGCCGACCAATCCAGACTAAATAGAAAGGCTGCTTATATGTTTAGGCAGAATGGGGCCAGGGGAAGAAGGAATGGTTCAAACTGGTTATAAGTATAGACAGGGAGAGGAGGATAAAGCATAGAACAAACTAGTTTTACATGTAGACATAATGGCATAAGGCGTAATCTTGGTGAACACACAAAACAGTAGATGTATTCTTGATGGGAAAATTCATCTTTTTGGCAATTCCAGATAAGAGGATGTTCCATGAATGGAATGGTGATTTGAAATCCTGTTGCTCTAGATGGATGGTAGATTGCTGGAGATCTGAGGGGCTTTGATGAAAAGATTAGGAGTAAATTCTCTGTCAGGTGAACCCCATAAGAAATTGTTAAATGTCAAAATTATGATATTGATTGTATTCAAAGTGATAATATAACTGCCACCATGGTCATCTCTCAGTTACTGGCTCTTCAGATAGTATTGATGATGATGATGATGATGATGATGATGATGATGGCAACAATTGTTGAACAGCTAAAAAATGTCAGGTGCTTTCTGTTATTTTGTTTTGCTTTCGTAACAACCTGCAATGAAGGATCTACAGCCGATATTTTACAGGTAAGGATTCTGAAATCAGAGATGTTAATTCTTTGCCAGATATCTGGTGAATATACAGTGTAAGGCAGTGCCTACCAGTATGTTCTGCAGTCAAGTATTGGGGTTTGGATGCCTCCTTTGACATTTAAGAGCTTGATTGACCTTGGATAATCTGTGAAGCTTCTCTATGCTTTGGTGTTCTTATCTGTAAAATGAGACTGTTGTGAGGATGTAATGTGCCTGTCCCATAGTAAATGATCAACAAATGTTAGCTGTTCCCACTGCTTTTCTTCTTCTTGGTATTTTTCTTATTGATGGCAGTGTTGTGAGCCAAGGACAGACCTGTCTGGCGACAAAGCAGTGTCCCTTCTCTGTACCACACTGCCTCTGGAAACAAGGGGAGAATAGGAAGTCAGGTTATTCCATACTGTCCTTTATCCCTTTTTTCTAGCATGTGGATCTCCCCCACTCCAGACACTCTTGTACCCCTGGAGTGCTGCTTCGGATGTGCATCCACCCAGAGTCCAGGTAGCTCATTCTCTTTCTAGCCAATGACAGAGGCAGAGGCCACTCACCAGGTGGAAATAAACTAACGTCCCTGCTCCCCTGTGAAAATGACATCTCAGTGCCTCTCTGTTCCCCAGAACTCCACCTCCTGACAGGACCATCACTGCCCTGTCCTCCTGTCTGGCCATGTTGGAAGCTAGGGAGGGAATGACCATGACCCCATTGCTCAGGGCCTCTGATTAATGTTCACTTCCTGAGCTGGCTCTGCTTTCTCCACTGGGTCTTGCATTAACGCAGCCAGGGGCAACCCAAATATAGTCCAAAAGTGTTAGTTAAAAT